GTTTTCTCCTTCACTGCAGCACCTATGGGTGACATGATACAGCATGGAGAGAGAAGCGGGGTTGGATGGGGAGGCTGGTTTGGAAGAAAGGGAGAGGCAAGGAGACAAGGAAAGAATTGGTAAAACCCACTCTAATCTGAGAAGAACCTAAGGAGAGAGAGAGTGGAATGTGAAGAGGGTAAAGAAAGACACAGGAGAGCTTTTTGAAAGGTAGGAAGGAATGAAGAAAGAGTGGCGAAGTGATGAAAAGAGAAAGGGAGAGGAGAATTGCATATGATGGATTGTACACCAGGAATCCAAGATCAAAATGCCAACTAAATTAGGGTATTATAGGTCACTGAACAGAAACGGCACAATGGCTGAGTCTCTAACAAAGGTTAAAACACGGAACAAAGACAAAGAATGGCACAATCCAGAGTCAGTGACCATAAACTCCAACAAAAGGGAGGGCGTCGCAGAGATGATGGGAAAGCAGAAGAAATCGTTGCTTGCAATCAGTGTTCAGCGGGTCAGATTGGAAATAAATGTGCCTTTCAGAGCAGGCATTGTAGATGCAAACACAGATGCAGGTCTGACAACATCTTCCAACAACGTTATTACACTTAAAACACTTGGTGGGGATGAGAAGCCAATGTCAGCTAAAAAAACAGAGAGAAATATGCTTAAAATATACAGAATTGCATATGAACATGGAATGAAGCATCATAAAGAAGCCCTGCTTTCTCTGAGCTGCTGAATACAGCTGCCTGGGAATTTTTCAGTAAAATCAGACTTTGGTTGGAAAATAACAATTTAGCTAAATTGAAGCCCTTTGCGCTGGAAAGGGCGGTTTTGCTAAGCTTTTGGGTTTGTAAACATTCACTGAAAAGGTTTGAAATTGCTGAAGGATGCCTGTGTTAGCCTGGTTTCCTAAGGCAGGGGAGCTTATGAGATCACCCCACGTAGAGGTAAGGAAGGTCTTTTTGCTGGGCCTAGACATCCCTGGGGTCACTGTGTTTTGAGAGAACTGGGTCACTGCCAAACGCTGGCAGAAGCAACCACCAGCCCTCTCCCACCCAAAAACCTGGACAAAAAGACACTGATGGGATCCTGCTGCCTGTGCTACAGGACTTAATAAACGTTGACATTTTTACAGAGAGCTGTCTACGTATTTGATTGGCATTAATACGATCTACGCAGGATTAATGGGATACCCAAATCGTTCCCCGTGCAAGTAGAGGCAAATTTCATGGCTACCTCAGCGGCTGAGGTAGCAATAGCAAGTGCAATTTCCAAGCTACGTCTCACGAGTGGCTTGGAATAAAAAGCTCTGCATCCCCTCCTGGACACAAACGTGCAGAAGCCATCACTTTCCTCTCCTTTAATCCCATGGGAGCCTCCTTGAATTTCTCCCCAGCCCCAGCATGGGCAAATCTCCTTGCCCACAGCTGTTTATTCCCCGTTGGAGCAGCTGGGATTTGCAGCTCTATAAAAGCCTTGTAGCAGCACGGGGGCCCCAGGCACCCTCCTGAGTAACATTACTCAGTACGGAAAGGATGTGCCTGGGGAGGACACCACTCAGAGCCCCCGGGCTGCCATTCTTTGAGGTCACCTCATCTGTCTGGTGGCCTCGCTGAAGAAGCCAGCCTCAGCCCATCACCTTTCTAATGGTTTTGTACATAAAACAGTATTTTTTTTTAATTAATTATTTTTTTTTTCTTCCCCAGCCTTCCCTGCAAGCCCTGCAGCCCCCTCCCTCCTCCTGCTCAGGTGGGTGAGCAGGGAAGGGCTTAGCCAAGACCCTGTTGAAGCTGCAGCTGGAGAGACAGAGAGGTCTGCACCATATTAAGGGGATTTAGGAAGGGTGACTGTGTAGACCGATGTGTTGTGCAGGAGAGGCTGAATTCCTGAAAGGAGCAGGAGTGGGGAGAAGAGGGCTCTTTGAGGAGGAGCAGAAAAAAAGCACAGATAAATGGCCAGGCCAGCTCTGTGCACGGCCTCTGAAGGGTCTCCGTGCAGCTCGGACAGCTGGAGACTCGCACACCTTGCTGTTTTTACGCAGGATGGCACGGCCACAAACAAAGGCCTGGCATTTGGGTGTGCAGGGGGGGAGCCCAGCAGCTGGCGAGGGGCTTGGGCCAGATGGCGGGCAGGATTAGAGGCGCCTGATTCTGCAGAATGCATCGGGAACTTGGATGATCTAATATCGCTCCAGATGTGACATGCCTAAATCCGCGGGGAGGAGCTGTTTCGGGGGGAGGGATGGTCCCTGCCAGCTCCCTCCCTGGGAAGGAATTCCCTCGCCTCGCAGGGGGCAGGGGTCTGGGAGCGCAGGGAAGGAATTACAGCATTGAGCTGGCTCTTCCCTGGCAAACCACACAGGGAGCCTTCCCAATCCCGTGCCCCTCCACGCAGCCATTTGGGCTATGAGATTTTTTTAAAAATGCCTTTATTACAGGGATTATTATCGTAAATAGGTTAAACCATCAGCGACAATGCCAGCTACCCCGAGGAGAAAAAAAACAGTGACTCGGAGACCATTTCAACCAGCTGCCCACCTCCCCTCTCCCAGCCCTGTTCTGCCTAATTCAGACCTCAGGCAGATGCCTCTTGGCTATGATCTGCCATGCACTAAAAAAGCCTTATAAATAACCACCATTGTTCCAAGATTGCCATCTTGCAGATTCCAAGGCCTCTGTTCGTGCCGGGGAGAAGCAGAGGAGGCTGCTCAAATCCTTTCTGCCCTGTGCTCCCCCAGCTTCCAAAGTGTCCCCTGCCCTGCCGCCCTCGGGAGCTCTGCACCCCCTTTTCGCTGCATTTGGGTTTTCACCCAAAACGATTTGATTGTGAGAGATGAGGCTGGGGAAACATCCCCGGCTGCAGATGGCTCCCACTCATGGATGACGCTCCCAGCCAGCCCTCCTTCCCAATTAACTTCATCCCCTCCAGCTCAGCACAGACGGAGACCCTGATTTCCCATTTCCCTGTCCCATCATGTAAGGGCAGGAGGCACGGAGCACCCCGGCACCCCCGGGAGCACAGGCTGCTTGCTCCATGTGTCGGCACGGCACCGGCCCCCAGCAGTTCCTCCCCGCCTGGTTTCTGTGATGGGGAAACTTCAGAGGCAGGGAGTGTTTTCCAAGAAGGATTTTGAGAGAAGGGAAGCAGACAATCCCCCGGAGCTGGTTTATGGTAGTTTTACACTTACCAGCTGTTTGCACATGAAATTGTTTCATGCGATTAGGCAGGTAACAGCACCTTTAAGCCCTGTGTCAAATATTATTACGCAATAAAATAAAACCCTGAAGGAAATCGCCTTGACACACACCCTGATTTACACCCCGCACCGTGAAGATAATTACATTTCAGTTTGATATATAAGAGGCAGCAGAGGAAGCCTGCAAAGGAGCCGCTTCCCGCAGTACCTGCTCACTCTTGCTAATCGCTGTCGTACAGGAATCAGACAAACGTTGGCCTGCAGAGACACCAGGATTACCAGGGAAGGACAGCTCTTGCTCAGCAGATGTCAGGGAGGGCGAGCAGCGTGACCTTTCCCTGCTTCTCCATTTCCTAAATCAGCCCCCCGCCACCCTTGCAATTTTTTCATCGCCTCTTTAAAGAACAGAAGCCAGCAAAAGTGGCTGAGAGTGCAGCTGTGAGTGTGTTTGGAGATTTATCTTTTTGGACCAGGAAATATGAGTTCTTCTGGGAGGGAACTCACTTTCTAAGAGAAGGGACAAGTATTCCTATTCCCAGAATAAGGGAATGAGGCTGTGCTTAGGTCTTATTCTGCCTCTGACGCAGCTCAGGGGAAGAAGCACTGAGCTCAGCGGTCACTGGAGCTTATCTCTAGTCCACCCTCACCTTGCTTTAGTGATGAAATTTTTCTCCTCCTCCTCAGTTATAAGGAAATGGGAAATCCCAGGGAGGAGCGGGATTTAACTCTGCCTCATTGCCAAAAGCTCATGACACAAGCTCAAAAAATGCACTTTATTATTTTATTTAATTTAATTTAATTTAATTTTATTTTATTTTATTTTATTTTATTTTATTTATTTTTTATTTTATTTTATTTTATTTATTTATTTATATTTATTTATTCTCTTGGTTGGAGGCTGATGAACCTAATCCTTCCAGGGTGTGCAAGAGGCCAAAAAAACCTGAGTCAACCAACAGTCCCATTCCTAACTCCTGCCCCGTAGGGAAGTTTTGGCCTGAAAGTGCAGCTCTGTGGCCGCTGAGCACAGCAAGGGCTGGAGATGAGGAGTGTGTGATGCTGACCATCACCGGCTGAAGCGAGCTGTGGAGGACACGGAGCACTTCATTTCTCAGTGGTTCGTAACCCTTCAGCCTTGGCAGCCCCTGCAATTCATCACTTAATGCGAAGGAATATGTATTAGAAATGACAGGCAGATTACACTCCGGGTAGAGCCAAGCCTTCTCCATTTGGGCCTGGAATTGGTTTTGGGCTGCAGGAGACCTTGACAGTGATAAATGGTCGGCGTGGTGGCCACTGCCGCCTGTGATCACAGCTCATCGAGTGGAGTAGGTGTTTCATTAGCATTATTTTATTAACTTCCCAGTGGGGAGAGGCATCATGTCGTGTTTTGACTCGAGAAGGCACAGGGCAAGACAGAAGCAGTGCTGGAGGTTCACAAGGAGGCTCCTCCAGGGACTCCAGGACATCAAGACCGAGTCGGTTTGGAAGGGACATCAGTGCTGAAGAGGGGATGTGGAAGAAGCTGGGCCTCATGTGGTCCTCATCAGGCCCTTAAATTTGGCCAGTAAAGCCTGGGCAGGGGGCAGACAGGGTGGGACTGAGCTGCTGCTGCTGGTGGCTGGTGAGAGCTGAGGGGAGCAGGTGGAGAGCTGGGGTTAACGGGGCAATGCAGCACCAATCTGTGCTCTGTCCCACGCTCACTTCTTTGCCTTCTTGCTGGTATGAGCATGGATGAAATAGGCAGTGTGATTAGAAAAAGAAGAGAAATAAATTAATTACTCATAAGAAACTTTTAAGATCATGGGTTAGGCACTGCCTTCTTAAAAGTCTCCAAATCCCCGTGAAAAGCCAGGTCCATGCAATGCACTTTACATACTAACAGAGTCTAATTCCCTGTCTGATAAAAGCAGAAGGAAAGATAAAAAAGCCTGAAGGCAAATAGGATTAATTGTGTGTCAGAGGTGCCTAATTAGAAAGAATGATGGACTGGAAGGCAGCACACAGGAGGCAGGAGCCAGCCCGAGCTGCTCTTAACGGCCTCTTTGTGCCTCCAGGAGCAGCAGCTGCATGCAGCACAAGTGCTCCAACATCACAAATCCCCTTTTTCTGGCCTGTCCCTTCCCTCTGGGGGCTAAGAAGCCCCTTGCTGCTAGCCCCCATGTGTCAGTGTGACCCTGAGGAGGCTTCACCCAGCCCCACGTTTACCTTTCTCCCGAAAAAAATCAATGCATTAATGGGAATCCTGTCCCTTAATCCCTCCCCATCTCCTTCGTGTGTCTGCCCTTCCTTGCCTCTTCTCCTGCAGGTGTATTGAGCATCTCCAATTTCTGAGGCCAGTATTTCTCCTGGCCTCCTGCGAGGACACAGAGCTGGCTTCGCTGGGCTTGCCCCGGGCTGGTAGCAAAGCTGAGCTCTCCGAGGGAACGAGCAGTCCATCGGCAGGCAGTCGAGATGGGGAGAAGAGCTTTTCGGCCCTGGGATCTCAACCATATCGACCAGAGATGCTCTTGGCAGTGTCCCACGGCCCGTTAGGGGAGATGATGCCCAGAGAGCCTCGTGTGTGAGGACACAAGTGGAGTTTTCCATACGGGAGATCTGGTTGTTACATGGGATGGGCAGGCTTCTCCTCGAGGGCTCAGAGAGCGTGAGTGGGACTAATTTCATTTCACCTAAAGCATTCAGCGAATCCTTTTCACCATGTAAAATCCATTGCAGTTTTCTCATTAATCCTCCAAAGCACAGACACTTACTCCAGGCCTAATCCCACTCTGCTATTGTGTTTCTCTACTGCAGCCTTCCCTCATCAGCTTAACAAATTCCCTCTATTTCAATAGAATATCCAAAGCCGAACATGCTGGGCATTAAACTGAAACCAGCTCCCAAGGGCTGCTGCACCTTCTTCACCGGGAGTCTCATTTCCCAGCCCGGGCAGGGAGGAATCCTATAAGCGGGCAGGAGAGGCGGAGGTCATGAGCTGTGACATTAAAAAATTGCTTCGCTCTGAGCCTGTGTCAAGTGAGACAAAAAATGTATCATGTCCCAGACAAATTAGAATTGATCGCAGCTTGGTTTGGGGTTGGGATTTTTTTTTCCCCCCTTTGTCTCTCATCTGGGGCGGATTCTAACTCAGGTGGGAAAATATCTCGAGACCCACGCTGGCGATAAGGCACTGTATCTAATTAAAGACTTTGTCGGAGGCATTAATTAAAGGCTTTGTTTCAGAGGCTCGGCTCCAGCTGCCAGCAGACCCCCATCCATCAATTTTAAGCAGGCCTTTTCCATGCACAGCTCGTGCAGCCCCAAGTGCCCAGGACCCCCGGCCTCCTGCTCCCATCTCAGCAAGGGGCTGCTCTCAGGGGAGTCCCCCAAGGGCTGTTTCTCCTTATTCGGGTGCTTGTCGTTCTCTGTGCTCATTTTACTTTCCCTTCCTCCTTCCCAGGCAGGGTCCTGGGTTCCTCCTTTGCTTTGGCTCCTGGTTTGTGAGCACAATATTCATCACCTGCAACCCAGAGGGTTCCTGCCCTTCCGTTTGCTTGCAGGTCCTGGTGAAAGGCTGGAGGACAGCTGTATTTATAATTCCAGCTGTATTTATAATTCCATCTCCACCTGCTTCTGCGTTGTTCACCCATGTAATCTGAGCAGCTGCTTCCTTACCTTGCCCCATGAAATCGCGCTGCTCCCTCCTGGTGCAGGCTGCTCCCCCTCGGTCTGCTCATCACACCGAGGATTTCAAGCCAGGGAGAGTTACAAATCTCTCTGACCCAGGCATTTATCAAGCTGCCGTCCATTAGAAGCCTTCTCACCTAAACGCTAATTAAACAACTAATTACTGACTCTATTCCAGTTGCAAGCTGCCACTTCCCAACAATTTAGTTACTTGAGGCCACATTCAAAATTCTCCAGGGCCCTGGCCTGACCTAGCAGCTCCTTCTTCCTATTTCACCTGCAGTAGCTCTCGGGATGCACCTACCACGCAAATAAGTTTTGGAGACATCCGTAGCCTTATGCTAGGTGTATTTATCCGTGTAAATAATACGAGCTAATGCCATTTGCTATGTTTCCGTTTGCAAGGCATGCTTCCCATGTAAATGTTTCATTTGCTTCTGAAATTACTTTGATCTCTTCTGAATTTTTTATCTCTTTTTATTGCATTCTGGGATCATAATCCTGCTTTATGTCCTGGTATCTCTTGGATAGGCCAAATGCCTGCATGCATTTGTTTTTCAGTCTGGCATTTCCACCGTGCAATTGCTACATGAGCACACTTCTGAGGGAAAGATTCACAGTGGAAATTAAGCACAAAAGACTCGATGCTCCTGTTGAGTGATGAGCTGCTCTGTTGTTTTGTTAAATTTTTAAGACTATTTGGATGGAAATAGTCCCTTTTTTGTTGTTGTTTAGTTTTTACAAATCTCCTCTGAGGAACCATAGCAGCCTTCTGGAAGATGCAAGAAAGACTTGTCTTTTTTAATAAAAGTGAGAAGGGGGGAACAAAATAAACCCAGAAATGGCTGCACGTCCCCTGAAAATAGCAACACCACGAGCATCCCACTGCAAGAAAGCTGCGGGTGGTAGGGTGATGTGCACAGATAGGGGAGAGGATTTGATCTCAGCAGACGTGCTCTGAGGACAATGTTCAGCTGACGTGCTGAATTCATGCCATGGGGGGAAATGGGCATCTCCCAGCATGAGGATCTACGCCAGAGAAGAAATATAGGGAGCCAAAGGGATGGGGATGAAGTGTGGGGGAGAAGTAGGCTTAGAGGAGAGGCATGATGTGCACAGGGGAGAACGTGTAGCTGGTGCATGACTTGTGCCTGTGCTGTGAGAGGTGCTTGGTTTCTGTCCTTACCATGCTCTGATCCAAAAGTGAGCTCATCTGGCCAAGGGGCTAACCTGACTTCTGAAAAAAAGACAAAAACCAAGAGCTGTCGATAAAGGAGCAGTTCGAAACTCCCAGCATTAAGCTGGTGATGCCTCATGTTTCCATGCAGAACTTCCAGTCCTTTATTTTCTTGCATTAACGTGCTTCAACCACCCCCTTGGAGCCAGGAGGGGATTTGACCTGTGGGACCAGCCGAGGCACCTGCTCTGCCCACTGCACACACACGTGGTCTTTTACACATTTTTATACATTGGTATTTATACATTCCAATGTATATTTATACAGTCCCTGGATCTCACGGCTGGCAGGGGAGGCTCGGTGACAACCTCCTCTTCTGCCTCCGTCTCCCTCGCCATCCTCGAGGCGAGTGGAAGCTTTCCGCCGAGCATTTGTCTGCGTTACAGAGTTATGGGAGTTATTAAGTTTGGATATTTTTATAGACTTCCCCGCTTACAATATACAGGCGTGTGTACGCACACGCGACCCTTTTGCTTTAATTTAGTTCTCGCCTTCCCCACACCCCATCAAGTGACTTCTAATAAATGACCGAATAAATGCATTCAGATAGTGTTGTAATGGAGAGAAATTCAGTGTCTAATGAAGGGATTGTTCGTACCCTGAGACTGTAAAGATGAATGATGGTGACTACAGTTTGAAAACTCCTTTTAGTTTAAAATATTGCTCCACGGTAAGGAAAAAAGAAAGCAACAAGAAAAAAAAAAAGCCAATCCTGTATAGTTTTTACCAGGAAAGAGCTGCGTGCACACAGAACAGAACTGTCGCAGCCAAAATTGCTTCATATATCATAGACCAACACCAGGCAGATAATGGCAAACAAGTTCTGATCAGGGAGTGATTATTGCTCGTTGCTCCAAGCACTGATGTGCGGAGAGAACTGACTACAGCTTGATTTTCTTTAACTCAACTGACCTTTTGAGGTTGAAATTAAGAATGTGATCACACTGGCCGCTAAAATGAGGTGTCAACCTGAAGGAAAATTCATAAAAAAAATCAGTGCTTCCTCTCACATGCCTCCTTTTTTTTCTGTTTGAAATGGCATTTTCTCTTTCTGCATTGTTGCTGTATGTGCGTGTGCTCATAGAAGAATGAAAAAAGACGCCGTGATGTGGGAGCAGAAGGGCTTGCCATGGGATGTGTTTGCAGGCAGGGCATGGGGTGCCACATCTGCTGGCCAGAAATGTGCAAGGAGTGCTTGTCCTGGCTGGTCTGCTCACCCACATGGGTCCTTGCACCTTAAAGACATGTATTTGGGGATATATACATGCCTGGTATTGCATAGGCATCATCCCAGAAAGGGTAGTGAGCTGGATGAACCACAGAGCAGATCGAATTTGGCAATTCCTATGTGCCTGTTGTTAACATCCCACTACTGGAGAACATGCTCAGTGAGGAGAAAGGCATCCAGTGGTTAAATGAGCACCGTGGGGGCACAGCTCAGCAGGATGAGACACAAGCACGTTACAGGGACCTGCAGAGCAGGAGCAGTCAGCAAAGGGGGAAGCTTGGATTTCATCCTTGTCTCAAATCTTCATGCTCTGTGCTATGTCGTGTGCATCAGCCTGAGTCTTGCAGAGAAACAGCCAAGCTTGCTGCATCTTCCTTTGGTGTAAATGTAAATCATTCCCTAGAAGCCAAGGAGCTGGAACAAGCAGAGAGAGACCCAGCGTGTTCAGTGCTGATGGCTTTGAGATGGAAGGTGCTGGAGGCAGTAGGACAGGCTCAGCCGTGGCACCCTGCCCTCTGCTCATTGCATCCCGGTATCGACACAGCTGCAGCCTCTGGGGTTGGTCTGCACGTCAGTACTGAAATGGAAGGGATCATGTTGACCGAGGATTTGCAGAGGCTCAGAGGTTTCTGGCAAGTCCCTGCATGGGGCTGAGAACTTACCCAGGAGAAGTCGTGAGCTGGGAGAATAAAGCAGTAGAGAATACAGCAAGGAAAGTCACGCACAGATGAATCCTCCGCCACCAAGACAACAAGAAGTCAACTTTCACCTTTCCTGACTGAAAGAGCACATTAAAATTAATTGAACGAGCCCCAGCACTCATGAAAGAGATGTTCTTCCACGGCTGTTCATCTGCATCCTTGCTTCCCTCAAAGACACTTGTCATTAATCCAGACTCGCTCAGCACATGCTGTGTCTTGTAAAGCAGAATGAAGCACACAAGACTCAGGATCTGCTGCAGTTTGTTACCGAGTTTGTAATATGCAATTGTGGGAATGATTATATCACCAACTGGATCTCATCTGTCCCTGCTCATTCAAACAGGCAAGCTGAAATGAACGGTGACAGGAAAATGTTCTTGTTTGCACACAAACAGTTTAATAACTAGCAATTTCACAAAGAGAAAAGTAGGGGGAAAATAAGTTGAAGGACAGAGAAACTCACGTATTAAATTCTGCAGAGAAGTTAACTCTCAAGAACAACATCATTAGGGTTTGCAGTGTGCCCTGAAAAGTGGTAAAAGCAGCTAAAAAGGTTAATTTTTTCCCCCTAAATCTCTCACCCAGCGACCACTACTTTGCACACCTTTTAAAACAGTCAGGAAATTATATTAATTTCTCTAATGTGCGCGATGCCATAAGTTCCTTTTTTAATTATTATGATCAAAATATTGCTTAAAATTAAAGGCAGCTGCATTTGTTTCTGACGGATATCATAATTGCAATTGTAAATTGGGAAATGTAATGTTTCCTGGTGCTGCTGTGAGTAATGGTTCTGAAATCATTATAGATAGGTAGATATAAATAAACCAAGAGATCTGTGAAAACAGAGCAAAAGCAAGCTAAAAAGGATAATTAGCAGACTGAATAGGAAGAGAAGAGTTCAGTGCTCAGAAAAAAAAAAAAAAAAAGTCTAAAAATTTCTGTGGAGTTCTGTGACTGCATTAAAAAAAAAAAAAAAAAGAATTTTCAGTCCAGAGGAATGTGTTCTGCATCAGCTCAAACCATGGGGTAAAAACCACACAGAAGAGAAACAGTGGGAAAAAGCGTGGCAGGTATTTGCTCTAGCAACACCCATCTATTTCGACTGCAGAGGAAAGAAAGGGAAAGGTAAAACTAACATTAATGTTAAAGTCTAGGGCTGCTTTATTATTGTTATTATCATTATTATTATTATTGTTATTAGGGAAAAATAAAATAAAGGATTTCTGGTGCCGAGGGCCCGACGACTGGAAAATGGCCAGCCTACCAGTGCCATTTATCAGCACACCCTGAGACATAACGAGCAATCACACTCCAGCTGGTTGATCATCGATAGGCAGGGATGGGCTGTGAGTAACCGTGCCGCAGGCTTTGGGAAGCGGAGGCTGCAAAAGGAGCAGCTGCAAATTGGAGCCTTCAGCCTGGGGGTCCTGCCCTGCGAAAAGTTGCTGGCTGCAAGTGGTGCCCCGAAACTGCAGCACGAGAGGAGCTCTGGAAGCTGAGGGCTGAGCCCGTGGCTCACCGAAAGGATGAGCAGGGAGGAAGGGGAAAGCTGTCAGCAGCTGTGCAAAGCCCTGGAAGGTCTCCAGGTGGAAAAACAGATATCGCTGGATGCGCCGACCTGCAGGGCTGGAGCTGTTCCTGGCACGGGCGGAGGGAGTGGGAGGTGGAGGCTGAGAGGTTTTTTGGAGATGTTTGCTAGAGATCCAACGAGAGGCACGGGGAGCTGCAGGGAGCTGCGGAGCTCTGATGCTCTGGGACAGATGAAACTTGGCTTCTATGGTTTCGCCCACAAAATCCGCTAGCACAAACAGAGCTGAAGTCATTTAACATCTGCTGAAGGGATGCGTGTTCCTGGATGTGGAAGGAGGCACTTTGACCTTAACTGGAGCAAAACCAAGGCCCAGAATTTGACTAGCCAGGCAAAATTCCAAGGAAATCCAGTCCATCTCATACAGCTGATTACCAAGAAACGCTTCCCATCTACTGGGGGCAGAAGCTTAGAGTCTTCTCAGGGTTCATTAGAGAAACAGGACCATCGTTTTTCTTCTTCAGCTCCCAGAGCCACCTCCTGCAAGGATCTCCTGGCAGCCAGGAATGAATCTAAAAGGGACACTGACCGATAGGAGAGTCTTTGTGCATTCTGCACACAGTATTGATTTTCACATTCACAGAGAAATGAATTAGATGCCAATTGTATACGAACTGAGCCACGGACTCTTGTTCAGCATGTCTCACTGTCCGTGTGAATAGAAGGACATCTGCAAAACCCCGGGTGCCCTTTAGGGGAAAAAGAGGCTGAGGAGGGTGGGATGCAGCTGTGGGACTAAACGGCTGTCTCCAGTCCTCTGCTATTGTCAGCAAGCGCCTCGGGGAAGGCCACCGCTAAACTGATCAGGCTGCAGTATAAAACCATAGAGAAATGGATTCCAGCTCCATGATCACCATGGTATTGACGTAGGTGGTTATAGACCAACCCCAGACCCCCTAGCTCAAGGGAGCCAGAAGATAAATGGTGGGTACCGAGTGAATAATGTGGAGCTGGACTCCCCTCTGCTTCGCAGGACCCTTCCCTTGCACAAATCCAGCTGCATTTTTGTTCTTCTGCTTGACAAACTGACAAAATAGACTCGCAGGCTATGAGCATCTCTGTGCTGCACACAACGACCTGCCCCTTCCAGAGCTTCAAAACCACCAGGCAGGGCAGTTGTCTGTCTGCAGGAGATGCAGGGATGCAGAGCATGGGCAGGGCACCAGGGCTGTGTCCCCTCCTGCCACAAGTGACAAGGGCAGACCCCCGAGCCGTGACAAATGCCATGACCCCGTGCCATGAAGCTCTGTCTCCAGCTCCCATCATCAGCAGCTCCCATCTTCATCATCGCCATCACCGAGGAGAGCTCAGGCACTGAAGCCAGGACTGGTTTAATCTTCTGCAGACCTGCAACGACTCCGAACCCTCTGTCTAACATCACTCAGCATGACTGCTTAATTACAGTAATTAGGAAGCGTGATAGGAACCTGCGCAGCGCGAAGGAGGTACTGCTCTCAGGAAATGGATTCTCTGTCAGTCGGGTCCATTAGGAGGTCAGCCTGCCTGTCATTTCCAGCTCCTGGGGCTGCCTGTGCTCAATTTGGGGAGGCCAGTTGGGGACAAGCTGGGCCAGACCCCGAGTCCTGGGCAGGGATGTGCGATGTCTCCTCTTCCTTCCCTCCCATTCCCAGGGCTGCTTTTACACACCGGGACCAGGACCCTCTAGAAGACAAGGACAGAGCTGTTTGGAGAGGGCGGGTGGCAGCCAGGTGTCCTCTCCGACCACCACCCCATGGGACAGGGAGCTCCCATCACCCAGCACAGGTCCCAGCAGCAGCCAGGTTGGGCTCGGCATCTCCTCCACCACCAGGAAGGGCTGATGTGGAACTGCCCTGGAGGAAAGCCCACCAGGGTACCACCCCTCACCCCTGATGGAGAAGCCAGGACATTTTTTGGACGTTCTGCACTAGCACAACCCTCTCCCCACGCCACCCCACTTTTCGGTCCTGACCCACCCTGGTGCATAGCCCACCTGCAGGTGTTCCCTTGGCTGCTCTCACTCACAAACCACATCTCTCTGGGCCAGCTCCAAGGGTTGTGGGGACATTTCCATTCCTGCCGTGCCTCAGAAACCCCTTCCCTGCCTGCTTTGTGGCCGAGGGACCCGGCTCAGAGCCTGCCCCCAGCCAGGACAGAAATAATCCTGGCCCCACACCACCGCACCTGAGGAAGGAGCTAGCGCTCCGGCTCTGAGTTAATGAACCATAAATTCCAGCTTAATGAGTTTTATACTGAGGAGAATAATTAATGTAATTAGTACTGATATGAAAATGATGGTACTCGAGCCCGGATTACGAGGGGGAGGGGGGCCTGGGGGTGGGAGGGAGCTCAGAGAAAGCTGGTTCAGCCTGCGGTGCTGCTCACCCAGAGGAACGGGGCTGGATGCGTTCCTGGCAGGTTTTAAAACCTCACCTCCCCTCCGCCATAAAGAGAAAGAAAATAGAGCATGACAGTAGAGCAGGAAAGAGATCAGCCATCCCCGTCTGCAGCAGAGATGTGGAATCTTTAATGCAGCTCTTCCCCACGCTGTCCTTTAATTTGCAGCTCCCCCATTCCACTCCATGCTCTCGGAGCATTGTCTGCCCTCCACGGTGCCTATTTTTTGCTCCTATATTAAAAGCTCTTTATAAAGCTGCCTAGCTCCAAGGATAAAACAACAGCTCTTTAGCTACAGAATTATTTTGGTAGGTTTTATGTATTTTACACAGTCCGAGAGGCAGTAACAACAATATTTTAATTTTAAACCTATATATTTATACCTAAGTGGCTGTATACACATTAAGTGGCCAAGTAGGAGGTGCTCTATTCTGGGGGAAGCACTGATCGTAGCACATTTGACAGCAGAGAAAGGCACCGAAAACCTCATCTGCAGTGCTGGCCCTGCAGCACATCCAGGAGCGGTGGAGAAATTAAAAGAGAAAGCAGGAATGGGGGTGTTTGGGAGCACCTTTATTTGAGTAGGTGCTGTTCCCTCTGAACCCACACGAAGCATCCCTGCCCTCAGCCTGGTGTCGGCGCGCTCTGCAGGGCAGTGGTGGGAGCCTCTGTGCAAAAGGCACCTGGTAGAGGTGATCCCGAGTTCCTTTCTCCTGCTCTGAAAACAACAACAGTCCCAGGGGGAGATGCCAGCTTCCAGAAATACAGGATAAACCTGCCTGGCTGTGCAAAACAAGGAGAGCCTTGCCAGAAGTCTGCTTTCACCACCCTGTACCATTGCTTGGATCTGCGCCCTGTCCTGGCTGTGTTGTCCCAAGGGTGGGTTGGGGCTCCTTGAGCCCCTCCAAGAAACCACCAAGAGAAGCTCTGGAGTTGGGAGCAATGTGTGCTGGGGGCCTGACAGCTTATCTTATCTTTTCTTATCTTATTTTAAGCCAGCAGACACCCGCCCAACAGGGATTGCCTCCGGCTGCTGCTAACCCAGGCTGTATTCATGCCATGGACTGCAGGGCAGAGCCCCTTCTCCCCTCCTTCATGCCCCCCCCACCATCTCCCTGCCATTTTCCTGCCCAGCTCTATGCCAAACGTGTTCCAGAAGATCTTCACCCAGAGGCAGAGGCACTATCCTTAGGCAGCGGAGCGTTTCTATTAAAAAATATCCTGCGGATTTCTCATTCTCGGAGTTAGTGGTTTGGGCTACAAATTCTCTAATTGCGTATCGATCAAACCTGGCTGATTGGGCACCTCCTGAGGAGGCACAGGGTTCGTGTTCAGCTGGATTTACACGCCGTGTCCTATCAGCCGTGCCTCCAAGGCTGTGTCACCGCTGGTGCTGCTTCCAGGGCAGGATGCAAGGCGAGAGGTGGCTCGGTGTGCTCCGGAGGGCAGCCGGGGTGAGCAGGCAGCCTGTGCTTGTGCAAGGACAGAAATGGGTGTGCAAGCGTGTACATTTTGGGATATGAATGCACAGGGGGTGATAGATGTACTGAATGTCTCAGTAATAAGTCTGCGTTGGCAGAAAGGAAGAGGTCGAGCCCCTCACCCAGGTTTCACAGCCACGACAGGAGTTATAACTCTTCAGTTCATCTTTATTTAAGGTCTGTGATCAGTCTTTTCCATCTGCAGGAGCTATTGTGTCAATGCCACCAAGATGTGGAGCAGAAATCCCAGCATTTCACCCCAGTAGCAGGAAGAATGGTTTTATGGGAGTAACACCAACCCCTCCCGCACCCTGCCAGCCCACGGACCCACCACCAGGCTCAGCCAGTTCCCTGCTCGACTCCTCCAGCCATCCACCCCCAGCAGCCTTACTGGATGGCCCTTTTCCCAGAAAAGGTGTCTTTCCAGATCCCTTTACACCATGGCAGGAGGGGAACACCTCTCGTTAAAGCTGCTGCAGGATCATCGAGGTCAGCACGACGTGGGCAGCCTCAGCACGGAGCAAAGCTCGCGTCCAGCCCTTGGCATCGGGTCCAGCAAAGTTTGGGACCAGCCACTGGGCAAATGTCGTGCAACCGTGTGGAAGGGAGGGAGGAATCAGAGCCCGAATTGGAACATTTCTAAATGCAGCTTTGTAAAAGACCGGCCTGAATTGCTTCCCATCCCTTTCTTCAGGTACAGATTTTTCCTTTTCCCCGAGGTACAAAGGACTTTAGTGGTATGCAGAGGCTCTCTTTTCCCCCCTTTTTTTGAGACCAACCCATTTCTTAAGGAGAAGAGAGAATGTTAAGAGGCAACAAGAACCAAGACATTCCCTCAGCTTAATGTATGTGCTGTCAAACGACCTCTTTGAATTTAGGCTTTTCTTGCATTTTCCCTTTCTGAGGAGGATTGAAATCCTTTCACTTTGCTGAAAAGCACAGTAAAACCCTTTGTGGCACTCATCCGTGGGCAGCTCAAACTCAAAGCTGCACAAGGCGAGCGGAGTCCCTCTCATGCTGCAGTCCGTGCCTCTGCTTTCCCCCTCCCCATCAAAGCTCCGGCCCCAGCCGCTGGCAGCAGAGGAAACCACCTGCAAGATGTTCCCTTCCTCCTCTGCCAACAGCCATTTTACCTGCCTGGTTTTCTGCTGCACCTGAAAACCTGACCACATTGCACTTTTTATTTGAATTTTTAGATCCGGCTGAAGCTGCATCGGATGAAGGTTTCCCAATCAAATCTACTTTAATTGCTGCCATGCAGGCGGCATCCTGTTATTACGGGCATGCAGAAAGGGAAATGTGTGAGCTTCTCCTCAATGGTCAGTGGTGCTGGGTTGGCTGCAGGAGGTCAGAGAGCCCTGGGTTTTCCCGTGCTGTGTCACCTTTCCCACCAGGGTGACCAAAGGCAGATTTGGCAGAGTCCAAAGCACGGCTCCCTTGCTGGGGTGAATGTCCTGGCCATGGTTTCAGCTCCGAGCACACACATTTTGTAGCTCTGTGGTAACCAAAAAGTGTGTTGAGGAGAAAACAAGAGAGAAAAACATTATCTGGAGCAAGACACGTAGCACTCGAGCCTGTTGGTGTAGGGACATGCCTGGCTGAATCCTATGGAGGCTGGCAGGGAAACGTGAATTCAGGTGACTCCAAAAAGGCTTCAGTCAGTCGAAACCACACGGATGGTATGGGAAAAGTCACATCTAACGCTAGAAGGCTGTGTCTGTACAGTCCCTGACATCTTGGGGATGGGAGCACCAGCACACGTGGAGGCTGCTGGGCATACAGGAGGCACTGGCCTGGCACTGGTGAGCGTGGCTCCATCCTCCCTCGGTGCTATATTGCCTCGTTGAGTTATAAACCTCTCCCTTATGTACAGATCTATGTGCCAGCCTGCAGGGAACCCACGAGGTAGTGCGAACACGTGTGTGCTTCTCGGTGGAGGGAGAGGGGCAAGCGGGGTGAGACTTGAGGCTGCTGAAGGTGATGGGGACAAAGAAAGTGCATAGAATATCCATAGCTGCTTAGATTCAGATATACAAAAATAAAAGGGTGCCTCCATCAGCGTGGCACAGCAGGAGCTGGGCTGGAATGACCAGCACAGTGCTCACACCTCCTCCTGGGGAGGAATTAGCTCGGCACCAGGCTCACTTCCCACCTGTAGAAGTGGCACTGGGACGTGGTTTGGGGTCTGGGCAGCAGGGTGATGCTGTGGTCCCCTTCTCTCCCTCCTGCATGCACTCTGCTCTGACATCCTCGTGGTCTCAGCGTGATGCTAAGCGTGCAGAATGCCAAATACCCAGCCCACGAGAGAGGAAAGCAAACCCCCGATCACCAGGCAGGCACATCCCCTTGTTCACAACTGTCCCAGCCCTCACCCTACATACGCCATACCTGGGTGAAACAGATGAAATTCATCCCCGAAGCCAAGCTCTTCTACAGGGTTTTCATTCCTTTTTCTCCACTTCCTCTTCTTTGCTCTTATATACATATAAGTGTATATCTATATTTATTTTTTCTCTAATACACGTGAACACAAATGTGATGTGGAGATAAATTCCCTTCTCTAAAACACTTTGTGGTCACAGTAATGTACACATTTGGATTTACATACCCACACACATTCCAAATATAAAAAAAAAAATATAGTCCCAAAACCAAGATGCTTTTAAAAAAAAAAAAGTTAAAAGGCCAGATTCCTCTATTGGCTTTTATCCTTCATTAAGAGTGCGAAGATTACCTGAAATCATGATTTTTTTCTTCATATTCTGCCTGAGTTCATTTTGAAATTCCAATCAACAGATGCAAGAAGGAGAAGGGGAAAAGCTAGTGGGGGGTCACACTAGGCTTTGAAAAGGAAAATTAGAGAGAATATTTTTCTTTCTAATTTTTTTTTTTCCTCTCTGGGTTGCAGGTTATAAGAAGGTTTTTTAAAGGATGCTTTCTCCAAAGCGTTGGCTTCAAATTATGTCCCCATGGCATCTGGATTAAACAGAGTCAATCAGAAAAATTTGGAGTGGGAGTAGGAAGGGAAAAAGACAGAAACAAAAGCCCTAAACCAAGCCCTTCTTTCTATTCTTGGTTGGTTCTGAGCATCTTTCAGTGTAAGCATCTTATTATTTGGTTCAGCAACCTTGGCTGTTTAGTTGTTTGCAACAGGGATTTCCCATCCCCACTGCCAAGGGGGAAAACAGTTTTCTCCAAGGGAGTAAAAAAAAAACCTCCAGCCTCAGATTTGGGCACTGGCCGGGCTTTGAAACTTCACACAGCTGGAAGAAGGGTTGTGGAGGATCCACACCTGGCTACTCTGGTGCAAGCAGTGCAGAGAGGGACACGAGGGGACCTACAGACATTTAATGGGGTTGGGCACATCCCATCCCACGCGGGGCAGCTGCCACCCGCCTATGCATGCATGCACACAGCCAGCTTGGTACAGGGGGGCCAGCACGAGAGAAGAAAGGTTCAAGAGCTGGATGAGATGTGGGCGAAGGCAGTGCTCCCTCGAGCATTAGCAAGCCAGGCAGATACTTAACCTAATCACGTCGCTTACAACCGCACCGAAATTTAGAAATCAATAAATAAAATAAGCAACGGCAAAGTGTGTGTCGGGGAGGGGGGGTTAAAAGGCCTTGGCTGTTGAGCGACGGGGTCGGGAGGTGTGAAAAACATTTAGCTTCGTCTTTTTGCTGTGCTGACACTTCAGACGTACTGTTCCTTAGGACAGATGTAAGGGGCCCGGGAGCCGGGGGGTGGGCAGCAGAAGGAGACGTCGGGGTGCTGAGGGTAGAGGTCTCGCGGGAGGTCTGACAGGGGGGTGTAGGCGTGGGGGATCTTCTCCAGGTATCGACCTTCGCGTGGGTAGCAGCGGCTCAGGTAATCACTCGCATTCGGTATCTCTGAGTGACACTTTCCAAAGTCCTGGAAGCAGAGAGACACAAGGGTGATTTGTCACCCGGGTGATAAATCCTCGCATTTTTAACATCTTCACATTTTTAACATCCGTGCCTCACTTCCCGAAATGCCCATTTTGCTACAGAATAAAGGATTTTGCATCCTCTGCCCCTTGCCTGTAAGGGCTCTGCCTCTCTCAAAAAAATAAGTGTCAGGGGCAAGAAAGGGCAGTTTATTTTCAGTCTTCCCAACTCTTCCACACCTGAGTTTGGAAAAAAGCACTGCTTGTACGCATCGCTGATCTAACACAGCCTCGTGCTCTTTTATACAAAGGTCACATTGCTCTGAGCACAGGCTCGGGAGGCACAATGGGTTATTGTGCCCGGTGTTTGCCCAGCAGCTCCCAGTGCCTCTGCTCGGCTTTACCTGGCTGAGCAGCTCCTTTGTCAGCCACATTTGTGAGTTAAAAGGACTGCGGGAAACATGAAGGACTTGCAAGACAGAGGTGGTCCCAGCACCTTCCTGGGGTGCTTGGAGAGTGTTTTTAGGGACGCTTTGCAAAATGTGATTCTTCCTCCCCAAGTGCCACATGAAATGAAAAGCTCCCGGAGTCCAAAGCGCTTTGATTCCCATTGAGGTAATTTTGCGGAGGGGCAGCAAGCAATGCTGAACAAACGCTGCTTGTTTGAGTGCAAAAAATCACAGAGACACCTTTTCCCAAAAAAGCTCTGGGCAAACAGCACGGGCGCTGGGATGGCAGCGTGAGCTCCCGGTAGTGCAGAGCAACCCCCCAGCCCCAGCCCTGCTCCCCAGGGGGTGGCAGCAGGTGGGGAGGGCTCCTCCTGCTCAAACTCCCTTTCCTCCCAGTTGAATCCTTGCAAAAGGACCCAAGCAGGAGGGACGCGTAGCACTCACCAAGGTCTTGGTCTCAATAAGGGCTATTCTCATCTCTAAGAGGCAGCAAATCCACTGGCAATCACCTTTTATGCCTGTGGATTGATTTGGGGCTGGCTGGAGCAAGTAACTTGCCCTGCAGTCCTTCCTTGTTCTCTTTCAAAGTACCAGAAACAATCAGTTTAGAGAAGAGGACAAAGATTTGACCCTCGGGAGAAAAAGCCTGAAGGAACAGAACAATCTACTCAGCTCCTCCGCCGCCAGTGCCTGGATAAATATTTCACCAGGACACTTAAAAAATCACATAGAAAACAAAGTGTCGACAATAATTTATTGATGGTTCAGCCTGCTACAAGAGGCAACAAGAAAGCTGAAGGGCTGCACAGTCTTAGGCCAGCAGCAGCCTCGCAAAGAGCCGTGGAGGCCACCAGAGGATGGGAGGCTGGAGCTCCAGGAAAGGAGCTGCAGTGCTAAGGTCAATCTGACTTTCATTTCTCTTTCCTTGGCAAAACGCTGCACCCACTGCTCAAGCTTTTTAAAGTCAGTGATCCTGACCTGGGCAGACAGCAAGGGGCCGCATGTTCAGCTCTAGATCCCTTCTATTTGGAGCTGCTGGGCTGGTGTCTCTGAAATTCAAGTGAGCCGTTCCCACACCTATCTCCTAAGGTTTTCATCCACTTCTGGCTTCTAAGTGCAAAGTGTAAAAGGGAAGAAGCTGGGCAGCAGCATTACAGCTGTTTAACAGGATCAATCCAAGCTGGGGACATTAGGAAGCTGCTCTTGGTCCCTTACTGCTAAGGCACAGCAGCACTGAACCTTAACCCCTATAATCTCTTCCCAGAGGGTTTGGGCAGCCCTGCCATACAGCTCTCAGGTGGGAGTTATGTTTATGCATCAAGTCGAGGCCTCTAAAGGATTGAAGGCTGAACTGTGCACAGCCCTGTGGCTGGAAAACTGGGCAGGCTGTGACAACACGCTTAGAGAACAAGGGAACAATCCCCCTACAAATCCCATAGCAGGCACAGGGATCCATACCATGATGGGAGAAGGGAACAAACAACAGCTGATTGTTATTATTCTGATTGTAACAGCTGATAAAAACGGATGGAGAAGGGCTAGCAGTCAAGGGGAGAGGTAACTAGAATGTGCAGAGGTGTTCTCCCTGCATAATCTGCTCTCAGGAAATGTTAGATGCAGCAGAAAACTCCTGAAAACTTCTTTCCATACCTGTGGGGAGGGGGGAAAAGTATTAACCCTGCTCTCCTGCTTTAAGTGGTAAGTCATTAATGGGTAACTGAACCTCCTGGGTAAAGCTAACCTGAAAGGGAAGTGGTCTCAGTGGTTGGAGTCCAGTAGGACATAGCAGGAGAGGAGCTCTTAGCCAGCAATCAATCCTCAGTTAATGGGAGGGTGGGTTTATGTGTGTTTGGGGCATACAATGGAAAAACATAGGGCTTCGTACAAAAATGAGTGCTCAAAAGGTCTGGTAGCAAAGAGGCTCTCAGTTAACACAAATAGACATCTTGTGTAAACTGAGCTCGTGGGTAGCATCCGGAGCTGCAAGAAGCACATCATGAGGCGCTACTTTGTGGGATGCCCATTAGCAATGTGCTGGCTCAGCAGAAACATCTTTCCTTTTTTCTGTCTAATGATTAATGTGGGCACGAAACAAGCATCCATGAAGCAAGGCTAGAGAGAATCAGTGCAGTTCTGCCAGCTCTTCTGGGCAGGTGAGTACAAGCATGCTTTCCTTTCCTTTCTTGCCATTTTGGGCTCACTTTTCATGGGTCAGCAGGGCCAGGGCTGGGCAGCTGGAGAATGCCAGCACTGGGGCAGAGGAAGGGAGTTCCCTGTTTCTTTTCACCTTCCTTTAGCCCGTGAAGCCAGGAGTCAATTGCTCCTGCTTTGTTCCCTTATCTCATTTCTAAGTACTGAAAGGGAAGAGGAGAGAATCAGCCTGATGTTTATTAACATCTAGCAGCCGGTGCCCTTTGACTTCCTTCCCCAGTCCCACTGTGACTTTTTCCAAATCTAATTTATCTTTAACAAAGTTTGAAATTAAATTAGGGATAATGAACTAATTAAATTGAACTGCCACTTTCCCCCACCTGACTTCTCCTGCTTGTCTTTGTTTCCAGTATGGCTGCATACAATTCCTCGTTATCTGGGTTACATCCTCCCCCCTCAGTTTTATTTTCAAGGGCTTGATTAAAGGGGATGTCAGCAATCTATCCATTTCAGACAGCCCGGCAGATTACCTTTAAACGGTCTTTATTTGATTGAATTAGAGAGCTTTCATTTCTGTTATGACTTATTCTCATCCCTTCTCCATCTCCTATGCACTTGTGATCATCTCCTTGCTAGGACTAGCTGTGCCACAGCTTTCCCTCCAATCTGACCACGTGCAATACTTCTTATCACTAAATAATCAGCTCTTACTGATCTAAGAGAGACAAGTTCCTTGTCAATGTTCTGAGGATTTACCTGCTCCAGTCTCTGGAAAACCCCAGAGCTGAAATTCCCCCAAATTAGGGAAGGAGCTGTGATGAAGGATGCACCCACAGATACATGCAAGTACTATTTCTGCAGTAAGCTCACTCATAAGGTTGCATTCCTCCTTACAGCATGCTTTTAGCTCTTCAGCTATAGCTACTTACCTGTTCTCTCTTCCCACAGCATCTTAGGCCATCAATAACCTTAAACCTTTACCCTCATGCTGTTTCCCTTGTGAGCTGTCTCTAAAACTTCACAGCCAGGGCAGGGTTGGTGCCCTCATCCTACAGCTGGGCAACTAATGGGGAGCCACCTCAGCACTTTGCTTTATTCCTCCCACAAACTGGAAATGGGTTATTGAACAGGGGCGTGCTCAGGCAACTTCTGTGTTGATAGGAAGGAGAAGTGGTAAACGGGAGCTGAGCCAGTGTTTGGTGGTTCTTCAGTATCCCCAGCTCACACTGTGCCAAATCTGTGATGGGTGCAGATTTAGTGGTTTTATAGTGGGTTTTGTAGGGAAAACAGAGCTGGGAATCTGATCCCGGCTCTCTGATTTACTGGGATCTTGATGCAAGTCTCAAGGTTTGAGCTATTCTTGCTCTAACAGGGACAAGAAATTCCCAAACAAAAGTGAGAACAGGAGTGTGGGGAGGTGAAGGGGGAGGAAATAATTAAAAAAGCATAAAAAAAAATAAAAAATCACCCTGATCTGTGGTGTGTCATAGCAGGGAGATTTCGTGGCGGTGAGATTACACCTTCAAAGCACCATATGACTGGCTTTATTTTTGCTTCAGAGAAGCTGGGAGGATTTCCAAATTTGGATTTAGAGGATTACTGTCCTTTTGCTGACAGTAAAATCCCCCACCCTGGGGAGGACGAGGTGAGACCTCCCAGGATGGATTAGGCAGCGCCTGCCTTGTTCGTACCCAGGCGAGTGGTCCTCTGGTGCAGCCCGAGGAGCTGCAGGGACGCGGAGGTGAAGGCGTAAAGAAAAGAAATTGCTCCCAACCACAGCCTCCTCCAGCCTGTTGGAGCTGGGCAGGCTGGTGCCTGGTGGCTGAGCACAAATAGACCCCAAAATCGAATGGAGATGAAAAAGCAACCCCAAAGCGACCCAGAACTTACTGTCCGCTCTCGCTCGTTACGTCTACGAAGACCTTGATCCTCATTCTGGGAGCAGGGGTGGGCAAGACACCGCAAGAGAGAGAGGTTACCGCTGCGCTCCGGGGCCGGCCCCGCTGCAGGCACTTACCTAGGGAGGTTTTTGCTACAGCAGGGGAACTACAGGGCTCCTTCCAGCACGGGAAAGCCAGGGGGCACGGGGGTAGAGGCAAACTGAACCAGCCCACCACGCGCCTTCCTCTCAGGCTGCTCTGCCCCACTGTCACCCACCTGGTGGCACTGATGTTCCTGGTCTGTGAGGGGACTTCTTTAAAAGTCGTTTTCCTCCCGCTCACCCCCTGCATAGAGCTATTTCCTTCCAAGGGAATTCCCAAGGTTTCAATTCCCTTGCCACTTATTCTCTCCTCCAACCCAGCCCTCTCCATCCCCAAGCTGCTGTTTCTGTGAGCATCCTCTGGTGACCCCGGAGGGATTTGGGGTGCTGCAGAGCACTCCAGTACCCCCTCTACTTCGGATAGGGAACTGGTGGCTTTAATCCCTGAGAAAGGGGTAAGATTATAGGGTAAGGGGGTGGGAGAAGACCTTGAGGACACCAGTTTCCTCTTCAAAGCAGAATGACATTTGCAGTGTCACTGGTAAATAGAGAGGCCCCAGGACCACCACTGGTGGGTTTGAATGTGAACCGAGTCCTAAGCAGTCCCTGCTGTGGGACCCCAGCTCAAAGGGCCTGGGTGACACTCCGAGTGGAACAAACAGGGAACAAATGAGCGGGTCTGATCGCTGGTTTTGAGAAGGAGAGCACCAAAGGAAAAATCTCCCTCCCTCTCTCAAGCACTCCAACATGCCATCTGCATCAGCCCCGTGCAACGCAAGCTCTTTATTTTGCATACGCAGTCCCTCCCTGGCTGCCTCGCGTTCACTTTCAGATGCAGGAACCTTTCCGTGTTCCCATATTCTCTCACATACTCTCCCACCTTGTTCTTTCACACATGCACATATGCTCCCTCTTATCTATAGTCTCTTCCACGCACACAAACCCATTTTTCCCCCCCTCCTTCTTTCAGTCCCATTCTCTCCCTCCCCTTCTTGTACTGGGTAGCTTGGGAGGGCCTGTTTAACATCTCCCCAAAGTTTTGTCCTCAGCCTCTGCACGTCCTAGTAATGCTGCTTTGCTTTGCAAAAAAAAATGCCCCCAGACAAGCTGTGCCTTTCAAACCCACCTCGTTCCTCCCTGTGCCTCCAGCCCAGCTGGCTGCAGAGGGGCTGCTTGGGTCAGAAACCACCCCATTAACGCTTCCCCCACCCCATGCCTCTCATCGCTGCAGAAAGCAAAGGAAAACGCTGCAGAGAGCATGCACAGAAGGCAAGGAGATCCCTGCCAGCCCCCCCTGGCACGAGGGGAGCAGAGGGGCAGCATCGCGTGCAGGGCTATGGGGTGGGCAGGATGGGGCTGGGGGGCTGCTGAACGGGGAGGGCAGGGGGTGCAGGGCAAGCACTGGCTGCAGAGGAGCAGGGGGAGGAAGGCAGAGTGCGATCGTGTACCTTGAGGCCAGAATCTGAGGGGAAAGGGCCTAGAGTGACATGCGCTAGCGTAAGTTGGGCTGGATGGTTGCGTACTCGACTAGGTCTCCGCCAGCATGGATGGAGCTCCGAGGGCTGGGTGACGAGGCCAGAGCGGACGTGTCCAGCTCTGCATAGTGGACATCACAGTCCTTGTTGCCAGAGTTCTGGAGAGAAGAGAGCAGCAAGGCGGTGGGGACACAGGAGGAGAGGATTTGGGGGTCGGGGGGGGGGGGTGAGGACATGGGAGCCGAGGCAAAGGGAGCGAGTGAATGAGGTGGGAGAGGGGGGTGCGTGATGGGACGGGGAGAAAGAAGAGAAGGGCGAAGGGGGGAGGAAGAAAAAAGAGTTAGAAAGAGGGAGGGAGGGATGTAATGAACAATCAGTCAGGTAAAATCCCAAATCAAACCACAGGCCCCCCTGGCATTGCTCCCCAGAGCTGCCGGTGAGCAGAGCTCTGAGCCCCCCTGCCCTGCACCTGCTCCGATCTCCCCCTCACCCCCTCTGGGACCAGCACCTTCCTCACCCGGGGCTGGTTCAGTGATTTCAAGCCTTACAGGCTACCTGAGCTGGCACTTGACCCAGGAATTTGGGGTGATGATGATGGGGAAGGATTGAGTGTGGGGTGTCAGGCGGGAGATGCCTGCAGGGAGTGGGTCCAGAGCCATGGCACCAAGGGTGGGGGGAGGCTGCAGGCACATTGCTGTAGGAAAATGCTACGGCTTAGCCAGTGCTGCTGTTTTTTATTTTTTTTTTTTTGCCCAAGTGTGGGGGCTGTAATGGTCTTTTTTACATGCTGTGTTTTTGCACAAGGCTTTACTGCACATTATGCTGCTGCGGATTAACTCTGCAGCGTGATTTTGTCATTGTGGTAATGTAATAGATGCTAAAAGCATCCTTCTTTTGGCATGAAAATATTTACGGGCTTTTCCTTTCTAAGCAGGCTTATCAGCAAGAACTGCATGAATGGAATATTACCCAATTTGTCTGATCACTCCTATCCAGACATCCTTCATGCTTTGCAAACGGCAATGGCCAGAGGACCTTGGGAAGCAGCAGGACCTGGAGCCCTCAGTGCTCCATAGGGGAAAACAGCCACCAGCACGAGGAAAGGTGCATTTTTGGGACAGCCCTGATGTCAGTAGCCAAGGTGTGAGGGGTACCCTGGCTCCTTCCCCCGTGGAGTTGCTTTAATTTCCATGCTAGCATTCAGCAAACATCTGCTGAGCTTCTCTGAGAGGAGAGACCTTGCTCTTCCACATGAAATAGCTTTCACATTTCCCCAGCCTTTTTCCAAAAAGGCCACATCGCACAGAAATTATGCAAAAGGTGTTGAATCCAAAAACGTTTCCCTTCCTTTGGTTTGGAGCTGTCCTCAGCCACGCAGCAGCTGTGGCAGAGCCATTCTCAGGAGTTTATGGCCCTGTAACGATGTGGTTTAATGCCTCTTGCTGGAAGGGGCTGTTTGGGGATGATCAGCTCTGGCCATTGCAGATTAAATATCCATGGATGTTGAAGAGGATGAGTGGTGCCAACTCCATTCTCAAACCTAAATCTATGCCCTGCAGAACTGTCCCCTTGGTCGTTGTGTCTCAGCACCCTCTCCAGCCCCAGGGAAGGGCAGACCAAGCCTTTATCTCCTTCTCCAAACTAGTGCTGCCTTCCCCTGGTGGTGATATCTCTGTGGAGTTCCCCTGCTCTCTGCCACTCCTGGGCTTGCTCCTGCTCCCTGCTGCTTGTTTGGAACAAAATTTATTACAATATCAATAATGTGACTTGTATACAAGGTCTAGCACTGCTACATGCAAGCGCTCTGTGTAAATCATCAGCATCGGCACCCTGGTAATTGCCCTGTAAACCGAGAGGAATTATTTTGCTGTCTGCAGCAATGAAACTTTCCTTTCTGCTCCGCAAATGGGTATCGCTGACACTTACACTAATCACACCACAGCTCCCACATGCGCTCGTGCTTCCACCCCTCACGCTCCTCCTCGCTGCCAAGCACGCAGCGTTTGCATGGCGCAGGCACTGCTGGGCACGCCTCTGCTTTTGCACACCCACTTTATTTAACACACCCACTGGTGTGCATGGATGCCACCGCTCACAGACACACGTCCTGCTGGTAGGTGTCACCTGAAGCGCACACACATCCACCCCATTCACTCCTGCTTGGATGCCCTCGCATCAACCAAAGCTTTTGCCCCACGAGGGCTTGGAGACAAATGCTGCAGGCAGCCTCTTGCACACGTCTGTGCCCTTAATTGGCCCCTGCGCTGTCCTTGAGTGTCTGTGCACTCAGCTTTATGTTCATGGTATCTTTCCCACAGCTTAAAACGCCCAAGCACCCATGTTCACTTGAAGCCCCTGTCCCTGCAGATGTGCTTCCAGCTTTTTACCTTGCCTGGGTCCTGCTGGCACACACCCACATGCTGTACCCACACTTGAGGCTGCTCCCTCCCCACCTCTCCAATGTTTTCTCCTCCTGGCACCTCTCCCACTCCCCCCACCCTCCCTCTTTGCCATCTCTCATCGGTTCCTGACTCCCATTCTCGTGCCATGAAATTGTCGACCCCAGGCAGTGGCTCTCACACAGCCTGGCGATGAAGCCAGGCTTATCCCAAATGAGGAGGGCTTTGCCCAATCCATTTAAAGCCAAATGCGCCTGCTCCGTTTTCCTGCAGAATCGCTTCCCTTCAAAAAGGAAAATGGGGTGTCTGTGAGCGGTCCTGCAGGGAGGGGGGCAGGAGCTGGCTCCTCTGCAAAGCACGGCTGGGCAGCGTGATGCGCACCTGGCCCTGGCTGCGTTATCCGAGCAGGATCCAGCACATCCAGCCCGTGCTGGCAGCAAAGGGACACCCTCCCTCCCCTTGCCAGCCACGAACCCGCACAGCCTGCTGCCTGCCCAGCGGATACGGCGATTTAGCAAGAAGCAGGAGCAAGCCTCATCTCGCTCCTGCAGCACGAAGCCACAGCGCGGTGCGCACGTGTGATGGGAGCCCAGTGGCACCAGCACAGCCAGCAGGACAGGGGACACGGCCAACCCACAGATCAGTGCCAAGAGCGGTCACAGCTGCAGCAGCAATGGCCGAGACACCCGGACCCCATCCCCAGCGCAGAGGGACTTTTATCACGGGACAGAGGAAGCCAGGGCTGCGCAGCTCGTCGCCACTTGGCTCGAGGCACAGCGAAGGAGCAGCGAGTGCCAAGCACTGGGATGTGGAGATGCATCTTCTCAGACCAGGATTGAGAGCAGCAAACTCTGTTCCCATGGTTACTGAGCAGCTACCCATCAGGCCCCATCTCACATCACTAACTCTGCCACTTAATTAACCGACTGCTCGTTATTTCCCGAAACGAGCTCCTCCATCCTCCTGCTTGCCTGAAACTCAGCTCTCAGATGCTCTCCACAGAGCAGCCCGTCTGGCTCTAGTGCCCTGTTTCATTTAAACCTCATCTGCCACTCAGCGAGGGTTGGAAAGGGCTGGAGACAAGCCCCGGGACTGCGGGAGGGCTCCAAGGGGAAGTTTTTCTTTGGGGACACCAGCCACTTCCAGCTCGGGTGAAGTAAATAAGATCACATCGGCACAGAGCCGCGTCTGAGCCCTTTTATCGCTGAGCCCTCGGCGCCTGCCTTGCTGCAGACTTCTGCTAGCGAAAGGTCACTGGGCCCCATCCTTCCATTATCCGCACAGGAATGCGCATCGAGGGGTCATTTCGGGATGAGCCGGAGGGAAGGGAATAATTAGCCGCGTTCATAAAATATTACTCAGTATTGGCTGGTATTTCTGCTGCCCCCTCAAACAAACGGGCTCACACTGCAGGGGTGCAGAGGCTCACGCGCAGGACCCTGAGCCCTGCCTTGTTGTCCCAGGCCTGCTGGGAGGAAAGTTTTTGGTTTTGCCTTCGTGGAAGGACTCCAGAGCTACCTGTGCTCCGTCTCCTATGCCTTTGCCCTTCTGTACCCAACCTTTTCTCCAACAGCCTCCCTCCTTGACGAGCAGCCCTTCCCGCTAGCAGCTCTCCCTGACCCTTAATCTCCCTGCTGCTGCTGCCTCACATTAGCATCCCTTTCTCTGCGAGGCTGAACAAATCCACACGAAACAAGGGGGTTTAAAGAACTTGTCGATTGAGTCAAACTCTGGCACACTCTGCCCGGCAGATAATTGCTTGGAGGAGCTGCTGCTTTCGGCTGCAGGCACTCGCGGGGCTCAGCTGCAGGAGGTGACCGGGGTGGGACAAGGGGTTTAACTCTACAGAGGAGGTCCTCTGACGGAGATTTGGAAGAAGAAAGGTGTTTCAGTGGGGAATGACCCCTAAAACCCCAGCTGGAGGACCTATGGAAGCCAAGGGGCAGGTGCTGAAGCAGGGCCACCAGTCTGTGCTCTGGGATGGGATGCTCCTTGCTCTGAAGGCTGCTGGTGCACCCGCTGGCTTTTGGGGTTTTTGGTTTCGTGGGGTGAGGGATCCTGGGGGAAAGCAGTGAGGCCGGGGCTGAGGATGCCTCCTGTCTCCTTACCAGCTTGTCGGTGTAGGGAGAGGGCTCGCTGGCTGCCATGTCGTAGTACGGAGGCTGCAGGGGGAGCTTCTGGATTTCCTCCTCGTGCTTCATGTTGTCCAGGTGAACAACCTGTAACAGGAGGGAGAAGAGGGGTGAGGGGAGCAAGTACAGTCCTTCTGCCACAGCCTGGGACACCACACGGTGCCGCCGTGAAGGACAGTGCCTCTTACCTTCTCCCTGGCCATATAATTTGCCTCCTGTTCTTATTTCATTCTCACATTCCTCTTCTCATCACCACCACTCACGCCATACAAAAAAAAGTGAGGATGCTCAAAAGCCCTCACACCTAAGAGCCCGTCTGAACACCAGCTCGTTCTGAATTCAATCCCTCCTGAAGGGAGCAAGCAGGATCCAAAGCACCCCTTTCCATTTGCACTTTGGGCTCAAGTTTTCCCTGCCAGGGGCAGGGGCTCGCCGCGAGGCTGGGGAGCCGTACCTGGATGTCTTCTGCAGTCAGGTGGCTTTTCAGCTCCTGTTTCCTCTTCGGTGGAGGGGCAGGCTTGTGGGACGGAGGCAAGTCAATTCTGCAGGTAAAGGAGCGGCTGGTGGTTAGAGGGCAGGAGGAAGGGGTCTCGTACACCAGGACAGGCTGGATCCTGCGTGCACGAAGGGTCTGGTTGTGTTTGTCTGCCAATGCAGTCACTGGTTCCTCTCCTGGGGCACCACAGAGCACCCAGCAGTGGTAATGGGTAATTAGCAGGAGGTAATATCACACCCACGGCAAGCTCGGGAGCTGCTCTGGAGCCCTAGCCCCTGCCCCAGGCTTTCCATTAGGGGATTGAATCTTCCTCCTCCATGCCAAAGGGGTTTTGTCCCTGACCCCCCATCAGGGGATCAGCTCCTGTCCCAGGGCACAGGGCTTGGCAGCCGTTGTAATCCCAGCCCGGAGCCTGTCTCTCTGCATTCTGTTCGTGCGCGCAGATGTGTCTAATCCTGTTACAAAACTTATTAAAACTCCGATCTGCTAATTAGCCGGCTTCCCCTCTCCAAAATTCACCAGATCTTCTGATAGGGATGGGCGGCTTCCCTGGGCAGCCTAACAGCTTGCAGCATGGGACCCGAATTTATGGGTGAGAGGAGGAGTAAAATGGGTCCCAGAGGCTCTGCAAAACACGGACTTGATGGCTCGAAAGAAAAGAAAAGCTATTAACTTTCCGAGGCTTTGGAGCAGACCCCACAATAGAGGCAGCACCTCTGCAGTCCAGGGCACCGTTGTGTTTCTATTCTCAGCTAAAGTGGCTGTTCCCTGTTCCTTCCTGGAGGGCCATTGTGGGAAGTGGATGGTCTGAATGCATCTCTGTCATGGGGCTGATGCTGTTGATGCAATTTCACCTTGTGGTGCTGGTTTTTTGTTGTTGTTCGTGTGCCTTTCTGTCTCCCTTCCTGCTTTCCGCGGTTCCCTTCCCTCCCTCCCTCGCTATCCTCCGCTGCCCTCTCTCAAATGGGATTAAATGGAGCACAAAATGTGGCCGCGTGTAGCAGCGGCGCGCTGGGGAGTGCGGAAGATGAAAGCAACTTGTGGCCTTGGGGCTCTCAGGGCAAGGTGGGAAGGGAGGGGGTGCCGCGGCGAGGCAGAGCTCTGCGGGGAGAGGACAGGGAGAACATCTCTGCAGAGGGCTCTGTCCGTGCTGCACTTGGCTCTGAGCTCCACGCCATGCATGGAAGATCCAGGAAAATATATTTCCCTCCTGGCTTTTCTTGCGTGCAGGCAGGGAAAGGACCGGCAGCGCCCTGCGTCTGCTGCCCCATCCCGCGGCACCCGCGGGCAGCACAGCACTACTCACAGGTCGTGGTCGGCGTCCGTGCGGTTCTTCTGTTGCCTCCTGTAGACGACGAACACGGTGACAGCCACGCCGATGATGAGCACCGCGGCGATGACGCCTCCCATGATCCCAATGATGCCGCCCGGGGCGCCCTGAGGTAGCGGCTTGTCTGCAACACACAGCGAAGCACAGGGCAGGGGGTTAGAGCCACACGGCTCACCGTGCCTCCAAGGGCTGGCAGCTTCCTAATTCTGCTATTTGCCCTTAAATTGGGTGGTTATTCCTGGATGTTCCCTTGTTCTGTGCTGGAAGAAGGAAGGGTCAGGGAATAAAGGTGCCCCAAAGCAGCCTCCCATGTTGGGCACTCCTGTGGGACTCATGCGGACCTGCCACTAGATATTATTTAATTATCTCAAAATTATCTCATTCTGCAGGGCTTGGTCACAGCCTCTTCACTGAAATCCTGTCCCTGTTGAGATGAAGAAGAGCTTTGCTTTAAATGTAGAGCTTAGAAAAGCTGAGGACCAACGCTCGATTCATTGAGGTGGAGCAGAGGGATGTGCATCAGAGCCTGGCACCCCTAAACCTTACAAAACGGGTGTCCCGAGTGGAGGATTTGGGGATGAGGGAGGGATGGATCACATCTCGTGCTCCATCTCCTGTCTGGCCCATTGCTCTGTGGCATGGGACGGCTCCTCGGTGACTACCGTGGACCTCATCCAAAGGAAGCCAATCCCATGGGCCTGACGGGAAACCGCTTTGAAACGTACGATAAAAGGATTTAATTTGCTCTACCTTCCAACCTAATTAAACTTGAAAAGTAGCTAATTGGTACTTTGTACTTACAGCGCTGGCAGTGATGAAAGAAGGAGATAATTGGAATGGAGGAAGAAGGAGGAGGAGGAGGAGAAGGAAGAGAAATCCAGGGGAAGGAGCAAGACAGGGAAGAAGGAAAAAAGTGCTTTGTAGAACTTGTCTGTCACACCTAGTTTTTGTGCTTTTCTTGATGGCTACTGGCTGCTCTCAGAGAGTAGATATTGGACTATAGATATTGGATAGAGACAGAGAGAGAGATAGAGAGAGTAGATACTGGACCAGCCTGGTGCAGAGTTGGCTGTGCTGACCCTTTGGCAGCAGCCCCGTTCCCAGCGCCCACCTCACCGCCAGCCTTCACCATCCACCTTCCCTCCTGTCATCCAGGACTGAACCAAGATGTACAAACATTTCCCAGGGAAATCCCCTCTCCAGCAAATCGCATCCCAGAGACCCGGAGCATTTAGTGCACCAGCGCCAACCACGGGAATTCCCAGCACCACGCCAGGACACTGCAACCGATGAGGAATTCGCCCCGAGAACTGCCTTGACACTGATCCCGCACCCCTTTCCCCATGACTTCCATGCAAACCTGCTTTTCCCTTACTTCATGAGGACACCGGCAGCCCCCTCCCTGCCTCCCCACACCCCCGCTCCCCAATTAAGAGCTCCGAGCTGGATGTCTTCAAGTGGCAGGATGCCGGAGTCATCAAGACGCGAGGTTCCTCTCCCCATCGTCCTCGTCTCCGGCAGTCACTTTTCTCTCTCTTCCCTTCTCCACATTATCTTGTAAATAATATTTCTGCCCTGAGACAGCTTGCTTACAGCCGCGCTCGGGCAGACAGCTGACAAGTCACAATCCGAGCCCCCGGACGGCATTTGAGATTGTGGCAGGGATGGTGACGGTGAAGGATCTCCCAGTCGCTTTGGCTGGGGCATTTCCATGATGGATCAGCCCCTAATGGCTCTCGGGCTGGCAGGTAACGAGCAGGGAACATCAGCCTCCTGCTATTGCTGTAAATCAGCAGGTGTGTGCGTGAGAGATGGGGACGGGGGCGGGAGGAGAAAAGGAGGGGTGGGGAGGCAGATGGATAAAGCTGAAAGGAGTCTGCAGGAGCTGGAACGGGGCTGTGCCACAGCAGAAAGGGGGCACGGAGGTTTGGAGAAATGGAAATGCAGCCAACAGGTTGCAGATGTAAACATAAAGCACTGGGTAAAGAGAGTAAGGGGATGAGGGGAGGAAAAGACGGGGGAGCACAAGGAGAAACGTGTTTTGGGGGGTCAATCACAGCGCTTCCCTATAACCAAGCTCTCACCGCTGTGGTGTGAGCATCCTGCTGTTGGTACCCACTCCGGCTGCCTAAGACAGGGCTGCACAGCCATGCAGCTCTTCCAGAGAGATGGCTGAGCTGTGACAAAATCCTGCCACAAGTCCTGCCCCTGCACGTGTGGGTCTGCTCCCCTAGGGCTGAGCCAGCCTGCAGAAGTGCTGGGCTCGTCTCTGCAGGACTCCAGCTAGAAGAAAAAGAGTAAGAGGCAAAAAGACCTTCCCTTCTGCTTTCTCTTCCCTCTTTTTATTTATTTATTTTTCATTCTCCTCTCATCTGCATCCCCAGCTGTTTGTTTCCTCGCTCTCCCCTTCCTGGGGCAGGGCTGCAGCTGGTATATTGTGTATTTTGAGGGCTGCTTCCCCAGGTCGCCTCCTGCCAGACCCCGCTGTCCTGGAGGGCAGGAGGCTGTGGGAAGGCTGCTGGGCTCCAACTGGAGGGCACTGGGGAAATATCAGGAGCAGATTGTACAAAGCAGGGGGTGAGGGCTCGGTTACACTGACAGGGCTTTTGGGCAGCCCCAGGAAGATGTTTGCAAGGCTGGAGAATCGGGGATCAGAATAAATTGGCAGGACAGCTCAAGGGCCTCTGGAGTGGAGTGGGAAAAGGCT